CCCCAAAACCCCAAAACCCCAAAACCCCAATTTAGATTTATTTGAGTGAAATTTTGTTAAATTAATTATGGAATTGGAAAGTTATACAGAAGAGAGTAAAGGTAGGTTTTAAGGATTCTTTTGAGTAGATTTTTGGGATTTGGGACTTGTGATATTGAAGCAAACTAACTAATTCACGGATAGATTCGACTTTGAAAGCAGGAACCTCAAGTCTACTTTTTAGCTTCAGTCATTGAGTAAATGTTTTGAAGTATTTCGGATATATCAAGCAATGCCAGAGCATGCTTTTGTCTCTTTGAAGATCTACTAGTGAGTTTTGGGTAGAAAATAAAGAAGCCTTGCTAAATGCACTTGAATTCAAGTCTGACAGAACAACTCTCAAAGCTTTAGAGCCTTCTATAGACAATTATATCAAATATTTCAAAAGTGTCAGTGATCCTACAGTGTTTTATATCAACGACTATATCATCGAGCTTCATGGTCAAAATTCAATTTTTAAATTTTGAGAATTTATAAGAAGCTTTGAAAACAGACATTTGATAAAGTTTAAACAGATTCTTGTGTATTATGATGGTAAAATGACTTCAGATGTCTTGAATTCACCCTATGATGTACTCAAAGAATACTCATTAGATACTTCATGAATTCAAGTGGAGGGAATAAACATGCTCTGACTCGGAAGAGAAGGATTGAATGTTAAATATACTCAGAAACTGAAGCTATCAATAATAACTCAATTCTCAAAATTTGATTATCTCGATGATCCTGAGTTTGATCCAATAAAAGAAATTGAACAGTTCTGCTTTAATGATAGCGAATTCAGATCTCTTGATAATTTAGGTAAGATTCCTAAGCAATTCTATGACAATTAATAACCTACCTCTTCTAGATTATTATGCAGAAATCATTCCTAGATCAATTAAACAATCATGCAGAGATATCAATATCAAACGCTTCCCTTCAGAAGAGCCTATGAATGAAGATACTATCAGAAATATCTCAGAAGGCCTGACTATAATATTTCCTAATTTTGAGAAGCTAACTTTTGATCCTTGCATATGTTTAGATACATCCCACAACCCAAGAAACTTTCTTGACTTTATTGAAGATGGAATTTCTCTCAAGTCGTTTTCTTCTGACGGATCTCAACTGACTATGATGAACTGCAATGTCTTCTATAAATCTAAATCAGTTGGAGAATACCAATCCTTTAGTACTTCCAGAATAGAAGTCGGTCATTTCAAAAATATTCCATTTTCTCCAAAACACCTAGGCAAAGGATTCATTGCTATTCCGGATTGCTCTATCTTGGAGATTAATAACATTCATTCTAAAAATACACAAGATCTGTCAAAATTTCATTTGTTTATAAGAAAACTAAAGAACCCTAAAAAGTCATTAAAGTGTAAGAGACTTCCTCCAGACAATGTTTATATTGAATCAAAGGAGTTTGGATTAATTGCTAACGAAGCAGCCTTATTATCCTGTAGACCAACTAAATGTACAGTTTTAAGACTCTATTATTCCAAAGCTTCAGAGTCAAAGGCCTTATTTGTAGCATTGGAGAAATTAGAATGGGATCGTTTTGAACTATCGGTCAGCAATCTAAGAGTTACTTATTTACTGTTAACCAAGCTGATGGCTTTCAAAGTCACAGATTTATCTCTCAGTGTCGGCCAATTAGATAAAGGATTGGAAAAAATTCCATTGAAAGCAAAGAATACACTCAAGTCTTTAATTCTTGGCTGCAAGTCTCTCCAAACTCTCACAGTAGGATCAAGTTCAGGATTTCAACAAGTCAAGAGAACAGACAAAAACTTCGAGATGGTTCTAGATAGGATCTTGGGTGGCAAACCTGATCTAGAGTTCAAAGCTAGGTTTAGATTACATGAAGTTGTGAACTATTACTAATGATGAAAATAAAAATCTTGGATGTGCTAATTTATTCTTCACTGTGCAAATTGATTTAGGCTGTTATCTGTGGGAAATTTAAAGTAAACATCTCAATATTCTGAGACCAATCCGGGGTTTTGGGGTTTTGGGGTTTTGGGG